CCCTCTAGAACTTTTCATATGCCGGAGCCCTCCCCCCCCCCCCTCTCATGCCCCGTGTCTACACGTTTTTTATGTTATTGGCCTAACAACTGACGGCATGCACGGCTATGAGTACCCCGCCCGCCCCCGTGTGATGCCCCCTGCTACTGTTTTTTTCGTCACGAAAACACTTACAGACGCTGGGAGTGAATTTCGTCGACCGTTCCCCGGGGAAGGTGGAGCTGGACGTCACCGGCAAGGGCCGGCTGTCGTACAGCCTCATCCTCACGATCCCCTTCGACTCAACGAGGAAGCGGATGTCGGTCGTCGTTCGTGCTCCCGACGGCTCCTACGTCTTGTACTGCAAGGTATGTTCAGTGCGTCTGGGGTCGGTCGTGTGTGTGTGTGTCTCGCGTTGGGGAGCTGTAGTGAAATTTCGCAACCTCCTCTTACGTAGTAGCCTTCTGATTGATAAGCCGGGAGTTCCAACACGAGCAGCGGAGCACGATACCCCTCCCCGCGATGATCTGACAACGCTGAGGCATGCAAAAGTTAGCATCTCCAAGAGATGTCCAAACCCCGCGCCCAGCATTTCTTTTCTGTTTTTTTTTTTGTAGTATACGTTACGATATCGCGTGTTTGTGGGTAGCCACTGAGGGAGAGGATCAATGGACCTTTCGTTTCTTGTGATACGAGTCGGAGGAGACATGTACTGCGGCAGGGGGATCTCTCCGTGTGTATTGTAGCACAGAATTGGATTGGAGATGTTGACGACTTGAGTGGGGGGAGGCCGCAAGGCGCGTACCGAGAGCCAGGTGTCGTCCGTAGGGAAGACCTGTGCTTACCAGCCACTTTTTGGTCCTTGCTTTTGCCCCGAACTCAGGTGACCGCTGGTGTTGTATTTAGGGAAAGGACGGCTTCATCACGATCAGGGTGCCTTCTGTTTTACAACTCATTTTTTTAGGTTGCCACTATTCCGCCCCCCCTGAATAGTAGGAAGGAACGATTGGCCATCGGTGATAGGTCCTGTGGGAACAACGCTCCGTCCTCTCGAGGGCGCGTGGTCAATTGCTTATTCGCTGAGGCATGCAAAACCCAAAACCCACACGAGTACGCCCTCGCCCCCCTGGAAAGCTTTGTCCCGGCCTTGCAGGCAGTGGTCTAATGGTGACTACGGCTGTGTTGAGTACTCCTCCCCGGATCCCGGATCCCTTGTTGTCTACTGGCGAAGGGAGCGAACAGCATCATCATGGACTAACAGTACCCCCCCCTGTCCCCGGTGTTTGCCATCGGGGTTGGGTTTTCGTCGCTTGGCAACGACGTTGTAAAACAAGCCGCCCCCCCCCCGGTGTTTGCCATCGGGATTGGGTTTTCGTCGCTTGGCAAAGACGTTGTAAAACAAGCCAATTCACTTCGTGAACTCGGCAACCAGGTTACCG